TGGCAACTTTCTTACTAATACAATTCATCGTATTCCACTCTTGCCTGTATTCGAATTTAGAATTTTAATGCCAACATTCGTACGTATTAATGTATTTTGGTGTACTAGTACTACTTCCTACTTAAATAAATAATAAGAATCTCAATGTATTGCATTAAATAGTATGATAGACGTATTAATCATAAATATGTATAAGAAAGACATATCGAGTTACCGACATAACATTTGATCGAGTATTTTTACCATATAGAATTATTTTATAAAAAGCCTAAAATAATATTTACTCCTTAAATTTAACTGATAAGTAACAAGAGATACACAGAGACCGATTCTACTATTTTATTTGAGGATCTCTTTGTGTGTGCACGTTCTTGGTGAATGTCTTTGTGTGTGCACGCTCGTATTCGTACGTTAGTAAACATTTTTCATCTCTCATATTAATGAAGAATATATTATGACGGAATGGATAGCTGGCAAAATGGCCATATCTGCATCAAAATTAAGAACTTACAGTCGAGTCTCGATAATATGACACTCGTTAATTTAAATCTGTCTATAATTTGAAATTTTTTCCCGGTCTGAATTTAAAATCAATTTAATTAATTGGTCAATTGATTGTTCCCCTCGGTATGAAGTTGAAGGAATAGTACCTATCTTGCGATAATTTGAAGTGTTTATCATGCACAAACCTGTCGTTTGTTTACATACGTGTCTAGACCTGTCGATTGTTAACATAAATGAGGAATACTTGTTTTCAGAATGAACATTTGTTTAATTGTACAAATCACGAATTTTGATCAAACTTGTTTCTTCTACCCTAATCTTTTTCTCCCTCCCAGTTGGTTGTTTGAACTCCTGTTATTTTGAACTATTGGTAATTTGAATTATTTTCTCTGGTCCCTTGAGTTTCAAATTATCGAAAGTAAACTGTACTAAGTATAAACTTTTTACATTCAACTTTCCTTACCGCACAAGGCTGCTAGGGTAAAAAAATGCAAATCCTCTTCTAATTCCTTCCCTCATTTTCGAAGTATCTTAAAAATATAAATTTGGTAAATGTCGTCTACAGTCTTTGTATATTATTTAAAAAAATGAATCAAACAATATAAGGTACTTTCATACCTATCCTTAGGAAGTGCCTCGTAAGAGTCTTCGTAATGTTTTACTCAAAAGTATTCAGTACAAGCTAATAAGTATAAATAAATAAAAAGATGATGCGGGGGACCTTGAAGAGGGTGCTGACTTTTATTCTCAAAATGCCGCCCCCTAAAACCCGGACAAAGATACGCATCCGTTCCCACTCATTTAATGTTCTGTCGGTAACGTGTTCATCGGATATTAATAGTCGAGGCACGTAAGTCTAGCGCTGAACGAAACGTGACGGAGACGCGCACGAATTGAATTACACGAATGCGTCTGGAGAGCCAATCAGCGCATGCGAACGATACGCACGAGCCAATCAGCGCGTCTTATCCGCAATAAACCAATCGGAGCGTCTTATGTGCAATAACGGTCACCGCTAGACTTTCGTGCCGCTACTTATATTTACTGTTTTATGTTAGGTGTAAGTAAATTGTTAAATGAATGTTTTGGAAACTGTTATAAATGTTATTATCTGTGGTCTATTTGTGACTATACATTTTTCAATGTATAAATACATTAAATGAATGTGTCAAACTGGATGTGTTTTATTTTTACCCGACTACGGCGAAACCCATAAGGAGAGAAATATTTAAGGCTTTTGCACCATCAGCTCGTAAAAGTGTAGGTGAACATGAGCCCCTCCCTTTGTTGAGAAGATTTGTCTTAATCCTCACGCTTGGCAGGTAGATTGACGAACGACGATCCACCAGACGTCTCGCACCTTGGACAGGTTGCTGGTCTAGTTATTCTACGCCTAATGGAAAACCATAATAGTTGCCTTTAATTACACCTAGCTACCGGACTAAATTGTGTAATGCTCATACGCCGACAACACGACAGAAAGTCTCATCCATCCATCCATTACAGCCTATAAAAGTCCACTGATGAACATAGGCTGCCCTGTTTTCCCTCAATTGTCTTATAAGGAGGGGGGATTTTGCCATAAATTGCCTATATGGATTTTGCCATAGTTGCCACACTGGGCATGCGGGTTGACAAGCGCAGTTTTTTATAATTTTGAGTTGTTTGGTTTTCGTCTCCCGTAAATCCTAAATTATTGATCGGATACTGCATATATAATACACATGGATTTTTGTATATGAGGTGGAGCCACGCTGTACCTATATTATCGTTGTAGCACGAATGGGTCGGCTCGACCGGGGAATGACCACGCTCTCACAGAATACCAGCGTAAAATAGCAGTTTAATGCTGCTGTGTTTCGTATGTTGAGTGTAGAGAACCAGATACCCTTTTTACTGGCAACGAGGCATTCCATCACAGTCCTCATGGGTGACAACGCATCAGCATTTTGATTCATAATTGAGGATAAATGTAGATGTCTATGGGCTACAGCATCCACTTATCATCAGGTGGACTGTGTGCTCGTTTGTTACCCTTATACTATAAAACATCATTATAGTTGGGTTCTTTGTTTTTAATAATAATTTACTTGTAATATGGTAGGATGTAAAATTTCTTTATAGCAGACGGGCAGCAGCGGGAATCTCACTGTACAGTCGTCAATCGTCGAATATAGTGATGTGATAACCTACATAGTGACGTGAGTATTTGAATACTACGTCGTGTGACATCGGTTCTAATCCTAGCTGGAGCCAACATTTTTCCAAGACTACGAATGGCTTTTTGCATTAAGCGTTAAATGAGGGTTAATAGTTGTCGCTGATGTCTGAAACAGATGTCGCTAGTTGACACTGAGGTAAAGTTTGTTGTTACACAATGTAATTTAATTGAGAAATTGTTTTTTAATAAAAGTTTATCAGTTTCTAGAGTATTATATTAATGATTTCTTATATTTACGCGAACACTACACATTTAAATAAAGCTAATTTTACGGATTTTATCGCGTATATTAACGTAAGTTACATTCCCGACGTTTCAAGCACTTTACAGCACCCATGGTCACGAGGGGTATGACGTGTATGACGTCCCAATGTCATAGTTAACCACGGCTACCTCCAGATTAAAAATTATTAATTTTTGTTCCGACCTACGCAGTATGAACTTACAGTACCATGAAGTCTTGCAGTTGTATGCTTGGGTTGGGATTTAATTTTATTAATTATGGGATCCCAAGCAGATGGTAGCACCCAGCCATCTTCTCTATTGAAATTAGGATGTTTCTTGATTTCAATAGCCTCGCGAATCATCCTTGGAAGGAATCGGTGTTCTTTAGCGAGGATTTGTAGTCTATCAAATCTAATGTAGTGACGGGGGCGATCCTGTACATGTTCACAGACTGCAGACTTCCCGGAGCGTCTACTCTTCACATCAGCTATACAGCTATACAGCTGATGTGAAGAGTAGACGCTCCGGGAAGTCTGCACTCTGTGAACATGTACAGGATCGCCCCCGTCACCACACTACGTGATTAGGCGCGGACGACTCTACTATCTAAAGTTGTGAATGATCAGATGAAAGGACAATAACAGTTAGGGATGCCAACCCTGTCTTATTATAAAGCCGACTATGGTGTGAGGCTGTTAACCAACTCGTTGCGGCACCGATTTTCGACAACTTAGCTGTGGCGGCGAACAAATATTTCACGACACTCTTGGCGTGTCAAGCGCCACCTAATTAAGTTTAGTTGATATCAAACATCAGTTACAAACGGAAGGATACTTGTTTCTAGTGGGTAACTACGTGTTTTCTTTGAAATTGAGAGTAATTGACTTTTTTATGCAGAGATTACAAACGTTTTGTACTATTTTTTGTTTTATAAAAAAAATCATTTATATAAGAAGGTACAGCTAAATCACACTGGAAAACTTTGATTTTAATTAAATTAAATTTTCACCTAATAATAACATTTGTAAAAATATCAAACATTCAAGAACCTTAATTTGGAAAGAAATAAGGTTTATGATTCATTGATATTTACAAATGTTAAATATTATTTAATGTTATACAAATGTAAAAGTAAACTCGATCTGAAAACTTCTAATTAGTAAGAATAGCAAAACAAGTGTTTTCAAAAGAAAAAAAACGCCAGCACTATACGGCGGCTGATTGACAAAAGACTATTTATTAGCCAACTTTTTTTATGCATGAACGGTTTCGAACAGTATCAAACAAAAATTAACCTTATACACATGGTACTTAGCACATGGTACTTCGTAGGTCTATTCGGCCATATGATAGTAATAAGACGGCAGTTCAACCATTTTAAGCATAATTAAACAATAAGACAAACGCATTGTTTTTCTTTTAACAGGAGACTTGTTTTCCTGAAATTTATTTACAACTTGAGTTTATGAGCGATCGCAATGAGTGCTATTATTTGTTACTTATTAGCCTTTTTCCACAACATGATTTAAAACCCACAAAGTAAAAAGTGTACCATGTACAAGTTAAAAAAAGGTTGTCAACCCCTAAAAATTTCAAATTTTCAAAATGTCCAGAAACGAAGCTGTAGGCATGAACTACTTACAAAATAATGAATATTTTGTTCTGGATAAATCGTCCAAAAACACAATTTGAGCGAGTTATAACGATTTTTAAAAAATACTCGACTCGCGTGTCATACGCCACACACAAAATTATCGATGACACGCCTGCCCTACCATCCGCACTGAACCGGTTAATAATGTTTCTTTTCGCCTTGTATAATATTTTAATTATATAAATTAAATAATAATAATTTATTTACTCGACAATACTACATTTTATTTAAAAAAGTTGGCAACCTTTGTCACATGTGACGACCGTAATCAAACTGATTTTATTTTTGCGCACACTACAGTGTAATGTAATTGCCAAGTAATTGCATTATAGTTAAGATAAAGCTAAACAATGAAAATTCCAAATATGTATTTATATTTATATTCGTAAGAAAGTTTTATACATTTTGACGAGTTATATCTCGAGGTTTTGCCATTTCTGTTGATTTTCGTATAGCTTGAGGTAGTTTCACAAATATAAGAAATAAAAATTCCAGTGCGCTGAATAAACCAACACCAAGAAACATGTTAAAAACTCCTCCTAAAGAAGCTGGAAAAAGAAAAGTAAATTACCGTGTGTGAATCTATTTTGCTTTTCGTCATAAGAGTTGCCTCTTCGAAATATTCCGCCTGTTTGAAAAATATTACAAAAATCTTATGGATCCCTATAGATATACATGGGGTGACGATAGAGTTATCACATAAAAAGACTTATCCTATATAACGTTCTTTGAACATACACAACTAAAAAAATATATAACAATTAACATTCTAGTCGCAATAGGCCTTTTTTCGTTTTTTGCCTAATTACTTATGAACGGGAAAGTGTAGGTAAATAATTACCTATGTCGATGCCGCGTGAGCACTGCGAACCTGCCGCCTGCCGCACCGTTGCCGCTTTTACATGTCACTTCTGGTCAGTAAACTAATATTATCAAGGTGATTTATTTCGTGTCAATTATCACCCTATTTATTTTGTTTGAAAGATGCATTTTTTATTTTTGCTAGAATTGTTTATTTTATTTTTTTAATCGACATATATGAACTTCTATGTACCGCTGTGTTATTTAACGTGATAACCTAATCGCCACCCAGTATATCGTATCGCAGTACCTATATCCATCTCGTTTACGTCACAGGTGCTCACTTCTGACTACGATTTTCTACGCAATCTGCCTGCCCTGGCGATTAAGACAAATTAGAATTTCCCTAGAACGGCGCCGTGGCCAGCTGAACTTTTAGGGGCCGATAAAAAAAGTAAAGTTAGAAAGGATTTATGCAGGAATTTTCTCAAATTTTTGCCTCACTTGTAGGTGTACCCGGCTGGTTGAGTGAGATTGTTGGGCGAGGCTTTAGGCACCAACTGATAGCATAATATCCATCCAAAAATACTGTTGTCGGTAGCAACATTAACCCACCTGCCAACGTCGCGTAAAGCTAAGTCTGTCAAGGAATCCGCCATTTGGTCTACATACAGCTGTTGACTTCAAACAAGCTAACAACGCATTGTAAGTAAAGAAAATAAGATTTAAAACTGTACGTTTCACATAGGTACAGTGAATGAGGTTTATCCTTGGAATGAGAGATAATAAGCCTTAAATAGAGTAAACTTCTATAAATCTTTTTCCGTTAAGGGATTTATAAATATACATACCGTATTACTGGTATTTACTGGGACTTACGTTGTTGACCTTGCATTATTCTGTGAATGGGTAAGCGCTGTGCGCTCTCCGCGCTCTATCTCAAAAACGGTTTAGTGTATAAAAAATGTTTGGAACGAAAGTTGTAGAGAATTTTATTCACTACAATTTTCATAATAAATGCAAACAGCATTAAAACTATAGAAAGCGAGATATTTGTAAAAAAACATTTTTGTGACTTTGACCTTGAATATTTTAAGACGCGGACATGAGATTTTATGAGACTTTTGGGAATACATTTAGAATGCCAAAATAAAGATTCATAGAAGTTTACAGCTTATTATCTCTCATTCTGAGGTTGACCATCTTTTTTGGCTTAAATGACTGTACTAGGAGGGAAATGTTCTTAAATCGCCACCACATGAGAACTTGAAATTCTATGCGTGTCCCTAATCCCTACTATATATAGCCTTGGCATCTCAAGGTCTAAGCAGTCTCCGTTCATGTTGTAATACGCGAGCAATCAGAGAAAGTGTCAACCTGAGTTAAAAAACCGGCAAAGTGCGAGTCGGACTCGCGCACCGAGGGTTCCGAACAAATCCGAAGGTATATAAGTTTAAAATTATTAAAAATATTTTTATTATATGTTGTAACTAAAAATTTATGCTTTTCGCAATTTTTCCTTTATCGGTGCTATAAAACGTTGCTTCGTACCTAATTTCAAGATTCTGAGTTCACGGGAAGTACCCTGTAGGTTTTGATTCCCTTGCTAATGTCGAAAATTTACGGCATAAACGGCTGTATCTTTTGATTGCGTTGGCTTAGAAGTTTGATTTTTTCACAGCTCTAAGGGACAGTAGACTTGAGTATTTAATATGAATTTCAGCTTGATACCTCCAAGCGTTCCCGAGGAAAAGGGTCTTGACAGACAGACAGACAGACAGACGGACAGACAACAAAGTGATTCTATAAGGGTTCCGTTTTTTTTCTTTTGAGGTACGGAACTCTAAAAAGGTGATTTGTGACCTGCTCTACTACGAAAACATCCTGAGGAAGCTTGCACATTAACTGATAAAAGTTTCGAGGACATGTGGAGCCCACCAATACGCGCTAGAGCAACACGACGAACTATATGCTCCACAACTCACAGAAATGAGAGGTCTGTGCCCAGAAGTGGGATGTACTTAGAAGGGCTTTACTTTATATCTCCTATATTTACTCGTTCCATTCCGATTTGGGATTATAAGCGTGGATCTTTTATTTATATCCTTATTCTGCCGACTTCCAAAAAGGAAACGGTACTCAATTCGACTGTATGTTTTTTTATGTGTGTTACCTCATAACTTTTTACTGGGTGTACCGATTTCGATGATTATTTTTTTATTTGAAAGCTGGTACTTCTCGTGTGGTCCCATATAAATGATCAAGGTCAGACCAATAGTTTTTGAGTTATTCTTAATAACTTATATTGAAGTCGGCTGTCCAAAATTTTTAATTTTAAATTATTATTCTTGTTAGACGTAATGTTAACACTTATTTAAATATTTCAGTAAATTAATTCTGCCGCCAAGCAGCATTACGTGCACTGATGTGACCGGACCGGAATGGTCTGAAGTGTTAAGCAGTACATAATTACAGGCAGACATTTATCATGACTCCTCGTTGGTCAAGTGGTCGTAAACGCGTTTGCTGATCATGAGGTCCAGGTCCAGGGTTTGAATCCACGGTTGGACAAAAATAAGTTATATATTATGTTTTTTCTCTCAAAAAATTCTCAGTAGCAGGTCGGAGTTAGGAAGTTGGCGGTGTCTCGCCCCCGTGCCCCGGAAAGCACGTAAAGTTGCTCCTGCGCCTGATCTCTCTCCGGTCGTGTCGGGTTACCGTCCCATCGGACTATGAGAGTGAGGGAATAGAGAGTGCACCTGTGCTTGCGCATACACTCTGGCACTATAATCCTGGCCTGCACAGACGGCTAGTCTCTGTTAAAGCTGGCCATGATCGATATTCGGTCTGGATGACATATTATAATTACGAGACATGAGATATTCCATCTAAGTTCTCAGAGGCAACGATGCGCCTGTAGCCTTCTTTGTTTAAAGTTGATTGCAGATGTCCATAGCTACAGATGCAGTAGCCACTTACCATCAGGTGGACTGTACGTTCATTTGTCACTTCAGTTTTATATAAAGAAGAATACGTACACAACAAAGTAATCCAGATTTCAGTCGGATTGACGACGAATTTTTTGGAGTAGCCGGTCATAATGTGCAGATTAAAAACAATCGTGAGGCTCTCGTTCAAACCGGTGCTGGAAATAGAACACTATTTATTAGATTGTAGAGCTCATTATATGCTTAAGAGTCTGTTCGTGTTGGGCCCAACCGCTTTATTTTCATAGACCCGTAAAAACCCACCGCTGGACATGGGGCTCTCCCGTTGTGAGGAGGATTGGCTTTAATCGTTACACTTGGCATGTGTTTCACACGCTTATTGCTTAATTTTCCGCCTGGCATAAACTAGGTGGTTGGGCGGGGGTTACTCTACTCCTAATTCCTACATTTTTACTTTATCAGTAGGACTAGATTAATACCTATTCTGCTCTCCTGTCCGGCGAGCTGTTTGGAAAATGCCTCTGGGGGAGAGCGCAGGTCGTGATGATCCCCAGGGCAAGTCTGAGGAGTTCTTCCTTCACGTGGTTGCCGCCTGTCATTTGGTCTGGTTCAATAGGAAACAGGTAGAACAGTAACACTCAGACGATTCTCATTTCTTTTTATCCCACCCCTTTTTTCTAATTCAACGTGTTAAGCGTATCATGCCGATAGATGCGTGGTTGGGGGAGGGGGAGTCCAGTCGCAAACGGTGTCTACCCGAGACCAGAGCGATTTGGGTAGTATCTTAGCCTTTCCCTGGGCATGCGGGGCTCTGCCGGGGGTGACCGTTTATTTCTCTAGCTAATCGTGGGAACAAAATGGATGGAAAAGATCGACATTTTCAACTGAATTCTCCTTTAATGGAACTCTCTGCCGGTTTGGAAGAGGTTCTTTTAGTCTCACCAACACCCTGCGACACAACGCCCCAACCTGGGACTAGGCGTGAAGTGTAGGGCACATCTGCAACCGAACCACAATCGGAAACGAACGAGGGAAGGGACAGAAATAGTTTTCTAGGCCTTACAAGCTTAGTGGGGCAGCACGGAAGCGTTACAAGTGGCTGATAGTAGAAGTGGCCTTCTCTCTGCCAAAAGCCCTGGGACGAAATTCCTTTGCACAACACTCCCCCGGTTCCGAAGGCGAAAATACGCAGTCGGTCTGAGGAGGAGTCTCCTAAAGATAAGCCCAGAAAATCTGTGAAGCTGGCAATGGAAGAGAAGAAGCTCAGGTTCGGTGCCGTAGCTGGCTCCGCACGTGTAGGAAATCGCAATTCGAATCCTCTGAGCGTGGAGCAGATGCGGTTGGTCCACCGGGTACTAACACAGGCTATCGCTAAGACAGCCTGTGGGGGAGGGGGAGGGGGGGGGGGAAAGACCAGGAAACTCCAATAGGGCCAAAAATGCTAAAGAATGGGATATTTATAATGAAGCCCTAACTGAATATAATAAAAAAATTAGGAATTAAAGCTAAGAAAGAATCGTGGAGGAAGCTCCGCGAGGAATTTGAGTCTTTGCCTCGCAGTGACAGGCGACACAAAATGCTATAGAAAGCTAAACCTAATCAGATCGGGCGTTTTAAAAAGCCTGATACGTCAACCCATTTCCCAGGGTCACAGAAGACTTGAATCGAACTCTTTCAGAGCTCTACAAAGGCCTTGTAATGAGGGCTGCAAAGATAATAAGGCCAAACCTGGTGCAGTGGGCTATATTAGGGATGTAGCTCTGGCTATGAGGTCCATACATTACAACAAGTATACTTACCACATTGACAAATGTACGGAAACAGCGTTGATCAGTGTTATTGACAGGGTCGAAAAAGCGCTGGAGGATAAAGAAATAGCTTTTTGTTCCTTTCTAGATAATGAGGGCGCCTTCGACAGTAGTCTCACATCACTGCTGGTTGGGGGCTTGACATCTAAAAATGTTGACTCCAAGACCACCAGGTGGGTGAAGTTGATGCTCTCTAACAGAAAGTCAAAAATAGCGCTGTTTCAAACTTATATTGATGTTGCAACTACAAGAGGCTACCCAACAAAGGGGACGTATTGTCACCTCTTCTTTGGACTCTTGCGGTTGATCAATTATTGTATAAGATGGCAGACCTTCGCATTGACACACTGGGTTATGCTGATGACCTTGTGGTCATTGCGAGGGTTTTTGCCAAAATACTTTATCATTAATCATACAAAAAGCCCTAAACACCTTAAATAACTGGTGTAGGGATTTTAACAGTTTATCAGTTAACGTTGATAAAACTGTTCTAACACACTTTACCAAAAAGAAACGGTTAGACAAATTAGTCACACTGTCATAGTGAGGCTGATTTTTACCTACGCCTCTACTGTCTGGTGTAATACGGCCAACCAAAAGACGACTGCGGACAGACTCAATAGTTTACAAAGGACTGCCTGCTTAATGGCAACTGGAGCGATTCGATTATCGCCTGTAGTGGCTTTTAATGCACTTCTGTGCCTAACGCCCTTTGATCTTTATTAAGACAAGAAGGCGAGGGCTAGTTTGTACAGGATTAACGCCGAGAGCGGTCTGAGCTTGCTTTCCTATAGATTGAAGTCCATGCTCGACTCAATTAAGGAAACTCCGATATTATACATTATTTCAGATATCATGCGTCCACTATTCACTTTTAATAGAAAGTACTTAGTGGAATTACTGCTGAATGGACAGGTCATCTGTGAGGTAGGTAGCCTTATATGGTATACCGATGGGTCGAAAATGGGCCTCGACGTAGGCTTTGGAATTTATGGGGGACGCCCCAAATTCAAACTTAGTATGAATTTGGGTAAATTCACCTCCATATAAAGAAGAAATTAGAACAAAGAAATTTTCGCCATACTTCAGTGTGCGGAAAAGCGGAAATCAACCTACAAAAACATTACGTCAACAATATTATCTATATAAACTCTGATAGTCAAGAAGCACTGCTAGCGCTGAGATCAAACTTAGTGAACTCGAAGTTGCGTAAACTGTCTAAACGCCCTGGAATGACTTAAAGAGTATACACAATTTGGATTCGATCCATTTTATGGAATCTCAAAAAGCCTAGCCCAATTGACCCTTGAAACTTTTTATCACAATAAATTACTTAAGATCTGGTCTGATACACCAGGCTTAAAACATTCTAAAACCGTAATCCGGGCTTATGACCGTAAATTTGCTTCAGAAGCCCAGGGATTAAGTAAGAATAAACTGCGTATTCTGGCAAGAGCCCTGACTGGACACTGTTGTCTAAAAAAGCACACGTCTATCGTGTGACTACGCAACTCAAGGATGAGCCGGTTCTGTTCTTTAACGGAAGAAACGCCTCCGCACATCCTAACTGATTGTGGACTCTTAATGCGCAAACGTAACACTCATCTGGGAAACTGTGTACTTCGCCCAGAAGAAGTGAAATTGCTTACAATTAAGCAACTTCTTCAAATCACTGAAGCTTTTGCTACACATTTATACATCTATACATATAAATAAAATTGAAGTGTCTGTCTGTAACATTGAAACAACTGGCTTTTATTAAGCTCAGGCGGTTATTTGAATGCTTTTAAGAAATAAATCATTTAAAAAATGTGTTTTTAAAAAATCTTTGAAATGCGGCTGAATCGTTTGTGATAAAAGTCTGCAAACACATAGAGTTCAATACCGGGAGAGATTTAGGCTATATTTTATCTGAAACCCTTGAATTTTTTTTCTGATAAAAAAAACTAAAAATTGATAAAATAAATGGTCTTTGATTATCTTAAATTTAAATAACGCCACATTAATAGGTCCTGTCCAGGCAAAGTCGCGGCACGCCGCTAGTAAATAATAAAATCAAATCGTTATTATGTAGTTTTCCTTAGAGTGCGTACAGATTAAGTAACATGTTGTGTAAGTTTTGTTTTATAACACGTCCACATTATGTTACATTGTTTTTCAACATTGCAACATATAACAATACTGTACACATTAGAATAACAATGCAATATAACAATGTTATATGACATTGTCGTTTGTCGTTCTGCAGTGCTTTTCACAATGTCGACACGAGAAGACGTTTTGCTAACTCTTGTACTTTTAAATAACAAAAGAAAAAAAACATAGATATTGGGTTCGTCCCAAACAAACATAGTTTATTGACTAGAGAAAAATACTCTCGAGTTATATAACACATTTTATAACATACAGTCTACACATTACTGTAACATGTTATATAACAATGTTTTATAACCGTTAAAACCAAAACAATTTTTAGAATTACGTACCAAACGGGAAGTTGATAGTCAGTCAATGCGGTACCAATCGCATCCCTAATAATTTTTTTTTATTGATATTGAAGATATTGTAGTGACATACGTACGAATGTAATAATTAATGACGACGCAAGCAGATGAATCAATAATAAATAATATATATATTCTAAAAGATATAAAAGGTAAAAAGATGTATCCTATTTTTAAGAAGTGTATGGCAAATTCATCAAGAGATACCCTAGACTGAAGTTCATCGACCAAATTAGCGTTATCCTGAAGATGGGCCAAATAAATAGTATCCTTAACCGACGAGCATGTATGAGAAATACATAGGTATATATGTAATATCTGAATACCCTCTGGGTGATATGCGTGAGAGTTTATTTTTACCCACGACAGAACGGAGAAGGATGTGTTTAGGGCAAGAAGTTATTTGTTTGTTTGTGTGTGCAAACGAATGTTCCCATTTATCTCCAAAACGGTTTGACCGATTTAGACACGATTTTCTGCAAAGGATTTGTGATTCATAGGCGATGGCGCGACGGTTATTAGTAGTCTGCGGTGAGTCGAGAAGAAGGCAAGTAATCTTCGAGAGTGCCGTGAAGCAGAGGCGAGCAGTAAGGCTCACAGCCGTACCGAACACTGTAGCGCAGGGAATAACTTGAAGGAACAGGAAGCATTATTATTCCAGTACTGCCAATAACCTTTGTAAAGCTTGCAGAATGTGATTCTCGCGACGAATGTAAAAGTTGCATTTAATCGAAAAAGGATTAAATAAAATTTTTGAAAACCCTCGACTAAATGAAAGTAGTAGTAAGTCAAAAAGATAAAAAAAAAAACAAAATATAAAAATAAAAAGGGTTGATTTGTTGCGAAGTCTGTCATAATAAACAACTAATTGTGACTTTCCTTAGTCCTTCCTACCTTTGTGTACCTATTTGTTTGCCATAGTGATAGACACATAAATAATATAATAGGTAATGTAATTACAAACCCAAGAAAATCCGTCGCGGATGCCCTTGCTATTTTTCTTCTCTATTTCAATATCTCATCACACGACGCAGTAACACAAGTAGCAGATTAAAAATTGTGTAAAACCCACGACGAATGTAAAAGTTGTAATGGAAAAGTGGCAGCCCTTATATCTTTAGTCAAATACAAAGGTCAATAAAATATTGATAACACAAGGGAACAAAATTAAACTTTTTTTTTATTTGCATGGAATTTTATGCCTGTTGTTTACTAATTTCAGGTCACTGATTTCAAATCTACCTACATTTTTTCTTTAGCAGCTCTAGTTTTTGAGATGCAGCTGTCAGACATATTTTTGTACTAGTCATATTTAAACTTCAAATTAATATATAACGATCCCAACTATTTTTGTAACATCTGTGGTGAATATACATTCAAAAATTGTAGACTCAGTGCGTCGGAGTTCATAAAACAGATGTATTTTGATTACTTCGGATTCCCTTTGGACACCCGTGACAAGTACTGGGTCCCTCATATGGCATGTAAAACATGTGTGGAGTCTTTGAGATTATGGGCGAATAAGAAAAGACTCCATTGTAAGTATCAAACACCTTTGATGTGACGGGAATCAAAATGATTGTTATTTTTGTGTAGGTTATATATACGTAATTAATAAACCAAACCCGTCGAAATGGTTTTTTTTTTTAATAACTTGTTATCTGTTACTCGACCAGTCCTGTACTCCGGCGATGCGCCGGTACCACAAGCTTCTTCATATACACGAAATGATCATGAGTTAGAAGAAAAAAGTTCTTCAAGTGATGAAAGTGGGACAACTGATTTTAACCCAGATGTTTCTTCCGAGCCCCAGCCCTTTAATAACGAAGACCTACGTCTTTCTAAGAAAGCATCGGATATTCTAGCTTCTCGGTTAAAGCAAAGAAATATTTTAACCCCAGAAACAAGAATTTCATACTGTCGTAACCGAGATACAGAATTGCTTTTATTCTGTTCTAAAGATGACGACTTTGTTTTTTGTTCTGATGTTCCTGGTTTATTGAAAGCAATGGGATTCACAGAAGTGTGATGCTGTCACATTTCCCGCATCTTGGTTGTAATATGCGCATCAAGGTACGCTTCCTCCACAACTATTTGGACTATTTCCCTGAAAATCTTGGTGATCTGAGTGTAGAACAAGGGGAACGGTTCCATCAAGACATTCGAACTATGGAGGAACGTTACCAGGGTCACTGGAATGCTCACATGATGACGGACTACTGTTGGAGCATTAAACACAGCCCTCGTAAACCAAGTCAAGCAAGAAAATCTTATAAAAGAATTTTTTTTGATAAGTAGTGGTTGTTTTTCTAATGGTTTTCTTAATAAAAAAAATAGTTTTTTCTTGAAAAGGTGTTTTAATTATATCTCAAAAACTAAAGCTGAGACAAACAATCTGACTACAGATCTGAAATCAGCATCCTAAGAAAATATAATATTAGTCATAATATTTCATGGAACAAGAATGGTGTTCCCTTGTGTAATCCAAGACTTGTTTACTAGTTAACGGCTACGTGATTTATAAACAAAGCATGCGAATTACCGCGAAACTGTTCTACTTACTAAATGGACTCGAAGCTGTTCGCAATGGAGTTTATACGACTGAATTCCAAAGAGAAATCCGTTGTAACTTTACTGCAGGATGGTAGACAACTGCAGGATAAATTTTCTGAAATATGATGATTTGGAAATATGAATATAAACATTGAGGGAATATGTACTACGTACTAGAAAGAGACTCTGAGACTTGGTATCCTCGGACACTAAGTAAGTTTGAGCCCACAAACTTACTTATTCTGTGCCATAAAATAGTATCTAAAGACTACAACTACAGACCGAACTTGAGTCTCAGCGGCCAGTCTCAACCGAGACCAGCCATCTGCATAGGACAGGATTATAGTGGCCGAGTGTATGCGCAAGCACAGGTGCATTCTCTATTCCCTCACTTTCATAGTCCGATGGGACGACATGCCTACACGACCGGATAAAGATCAGGCGCAGGACCAATTGATTTATTAAGTTTAGACTCCGGGCTGCTACTGAGAATTTGTTGACAGAAAAATTCAATAATCGATTATTTGTTTACCCGATCCGGAATTCGAACCCGGGACTTCATGATCAGCGTTGACTACCACTAGAGAAACGAAGCAATCTGTTCTAGTACGTATTACATGTTAGTTCAATGATATAAAGGAGTAAAAGTATCTATTACCACATTTCGTCACGTGGGAGTCGTAAGAGACGACTAAAAAATGCCAGAACGTCATATAGCTTCCAATAGATAGCGGTATACTCCAGGGTCAAAGGAGCTCACGTATGACGGTTAAAGCAAATCTTCCCAATAACCGGATAGTTACTGTTATTGTTACAGTTATAGACTGTCAAGACTCCACTGCTGAACATAGTCCATCTTAGGCTCTTAGGAGGGATATTTACGATAATTGCCGCGCTATGAAGGCGGATGGGCAACCGCAACTTTTTCTTTTTTATTTGTTATTAGGAAGACGCTTGTCCATCTCCTGGTTTGCTTCCCTCTGCCGCCTCTTACGACATCCACAGGACGAAATGAGGTAGTGGATAACCGCGGTTAGCGTTAGGTTCAGCGTTTTTCATGAATTTCCCGTCAACAGATGGCTGTCAGTGCAGCGTCATTTAATCATGAAGTGTACAGCGTGCAGTTTGACACATTTTTTTCATAAATTTCACTTGATGGTAAGTGGATGCTGTGGCCCATAGTCTACATTTGTATTCGATTAAGAATCAAATGCAGATCCGTTTCTGCTAACAAAAAGGGTCTCCGGTTCCTTACACTCATCATACGAAACAACAGCATTAAGCTGCTCTTTTAGGCTGGTATTCTATGAAAGCGTGATCCTACCCTGATCGAACCTACCCATTTTGACGAGCTGCACAATGGCTCTACCACGTATAATTAAGGTACAGTAGAGATAACTTTAATACATTGTCCTTATAGGGAAACACCTACCTGAACCTGCTTGTAATGCTGCCACAATAGTCTAATCAGATTTAACAACAACCGAAGTAAAACAATCGAAGATTCCGGAACCCTGCGTTTACATAACAAGCTCCATACTAGATACTAACGTTGCGTACGTCCATGGAGCGTTTTTTTATAAGATAGGGCGCAAACAAGCATGCGCCTCACCTGATGGTAAGTGACTGGCGGTGGTCCATTAACAACTACAACACCAGGGGTCTTATTTTTTTCTGCCGGTCTTTTAAAAAGGAGTAGGCTCTTTTCTTGAAGGTCCCTAAGTCGTATCGGTCCGGAAAAATCGCTGGTGGTAAACTATTCCACAAGGAAGTTGTGCGAGGAAGATAACTTCTTCTAAAGCACAGTAGTGGACCGCCAATCATCCAGATGGTATAGATGGTATCGCGAGTTTTGTCGCATTAGACCGAACAATTCCTCAGACCACTCCCCGTGGTAGATTTGATCAAATACGCAAAGAGATGCAACATCTCTACGTAGTGCCAGTGAGTCAAGCCGATCGGAAAGAACTCGGTTGTCGACCATTCGAACTGCTCTGCGCTGGATGCGGTGAAGTTTAAGGAGCTGGCACTGGGGAGCCCCTACCCAGATATGAGAACAGTATTCCATGTGGGGCCGAACCTGCCCCTTGTAAAGTTGCAGGCGGTGTGCCGGCATAAAATACTGTCCCGCTTTGCTGAGCACGCCAAGCTTTTCAGAGGCCAATTTGGCCTTCTCTTCCCAGCCACCATGAAACTGCACATCACTCGATATGTCGACACTGAGGATTCCGATACTGACTGACGCAACAAGGAGAGTGCCTTGAAACCGAGAAGATACGACAAAGGGGTTATTTTTAGCGGCAAACGCGCAAACGCCTCCAGTCTGAGAATTTGTTCAACAAAGTCGCGGACTGGTAATCCAATTGCACAATTTCTCGGGAAGCCCATAGGAAGAAAGCTTCGAAAGAAGTGCTTTGTGCCGAACCCGATCGAAGGCCTTCGCTATATCCAAACTAACACCCAAAGCCTCCCCCTTGGACTCCACTGCTTCCGCGTGTGTTATGTTATGAGTTAAGTAACCTAAAAGATCATCAGCTGGAAGGAAACCATACTGGCGGTCACTAATCAGCTGGTGCTCCTCAAGGTAGCGCATAAGCTGGCAGTTAATAATAGTTTCCATTACTTTTGGAGAACAAGTAGTGACTAAACCATGGCTGAATTTTGCCTCTGATAGGCACCACAGATGATGGAATAAATAATTTCATTTCTTGAAGTACCACATCAGGCGAGAAGCAAATCCGCCCCCAAGGGCAGGATGCAAAAAAAGACCGCATCCCGTCCCAATTGGCCGAACTATAGTGCCAAACACGGGGGCAAGTTGCAGATCGCAACTGCGATGGGAGCGTGAGTGGCACCATACTCCGGAACAGACAATGGCCCGAAGACCCAAGAGAGCCGTCGACGGAGACCTGAAATCTGTTCGGATGAGAGGTCAGCAGAACGTCCAACAGGGAAGGTAGGTACATGATCCTTGAAATCTGGGATCCGCGTAGGCGAAGTAACCAGTTGTGTCAGACCATATGTCATAAACAGATCTACCCGCATGATCGGTTAAAGGGGAACCAAGCCATTCAGCGTTGTGGGCGTTAAAATCACCGAGCATCACGATCTCTGCGAATGGGACCTGTTGTAGCACGGAGTCTGCAGCCATTTGGACATGGTCGATGAGTCGGTCTGTGTCGGCATTGTCACCATGGGACCTATAGAGCACCCGTAGACGCGGGGATGGGAAACGGAAAGCGTGGCAGGGGTCGCTGCGCTTGCCACGAGCAGGTTTCGTCTTGAGCTGAATCCCCCCCCCCCCCCCCCCCCGAATACGCGGGGCAGCCTGAGCACCCACGCTCAGAAAAATTAAGGTAGCTTGGACGTGGATGCTTAGCCAGGGGTTCTCCGTCACTAGGGGTGCCGGTATAGGGGAATAGGGCCTTCGGCCACCTGCCCCTTCAGGCGAAATGCAGAAGTAACCTTCTACTTCACGCTGGTATTCTGTGATGCCGTGGTACCACCACGGTTCGAGCCGGCCCATCCGTGCGCCAGCAAAAGCTGCCGCGTGACTCTACCACTGTTAAACTTCTTGGCGGCAGATCTCCGCTTTCCTTTCAACGGTCAAAAAGTAGTTTGAGAACAAATGCCGGAAACAAGCCGTCGTACTGCTCCAACGCGTTTTCCTAACTCCAAAATTTCTACATGTATTAACACAACTGTTAAAAAAACTTTAAAACTGTAAAATTAGTTTTAAAAAATGAAGTAATCTTAGTACATATTTGAAAAAAAAAATATGTTAATTTATACCTTTACCTTTGTGCGTTCTCAAACAGTTCATATTGGTCACATTGCAAGTGGGCAGTGCCGATGTATTGTTAATGTCATTAAGTTGTAAGGGATCGGAGCAGCCACAATTTTTTTCGACGCATTGTATCTGTAATGGAAGAAGAACCATGTATTATGTAATGAATTAAGAAATTCAACATCGATAATTATTATAACACATTAAAATATTGATTTTATTGATTGACCTTGTAATGGAGGTGTAAGAATATCCACTACCCCATATCGCCCCATGGATATGGTAAGAGGCCACAGAAGAAATTGTAAAGCAGCCCACACAACTTGTATAATATGTGAAAAAAAGTCCCGCTGGGTTTCTTGCTGGTTCTTCCCAGGACAGAGGTATTTTCCGAACCAGTGGTAAATAAAAAATGGCTTTCAATAAGTATTATGTAATAATCAATATTGATTAAAAAATCATTCTATTCTATTATATGGCAATTGTAATTAATAAGTAGCAGTATAATTAAAGTACTAGAAGAAACAACACATCCCTTTTCATTGTCACCTTCCGATATTTCAAAAACGACCCAGAAGATGGACAGCAACGTCTTTTTAATAACAACTAGACAATAAAAAATCTGCGGCTGCCACCCGCCTGTATTGCTCCATGTCCATGGGGAGACCTATACTCAGCAGCGGTTTTTGCTAAGCTGTATAGAATAGAATAGAATCAATTTTATTCAATACTAGCTGTTCCCCGCGACTTCACCCGCGTGTAATTTAGGGTTTTAATTTTTTTTGCGAGGAACCCTAATTATTTTTCTAAAATAAAAATAGCCTAAGTTACTCCTTATGACATCAGCTATCTGCCAGTGAAAGTCCCGTCAAAATCAGACCAGCCGGTACGGAGATTAGCCGGAACAAACATACAGTCAGACAGATAGACAAAAATTTAAAAACTGTATTTTAGTTATAAGTACCGTTTATACCTTCATATGCATTTAGTAAAACGCTGTAATTTTGACATTACAAACAGACACTTCAATTTTATTTATTTGTACTGATTTGTGAACCACGTGCTCGGCGGTGAAATAAGAAAAAAAATATTTCGAAGACATGTGAAGTTCGCCGACACGCATTGGGGCAGCGCGGCGGACATTTCCTTGCCCTAAAACCCTGTCAGAAATGGGAGGAGACCTGTGCCCAGCAGTGGGACGTATAATAGGCTGTAACTTTAACTTTTTAACTTTATAGATTACATTACACCCATTGAAAGTAATGTTTTTACTTTTACGACTGGTTCGTAAAAATACCTCTGTTCTGGAAAAAACCAGCAAGAAACGCAGCGGGACCTTTTTAAAATAAAATCCATTTACAAAACATTTAATATTTTATACAATTTGTATGAAAACATTTAGAAACGACATGGTAGCGATCAATCATGTACTCTAGTGGTAAATTGGTTTTTTTTATGTGAGTGACAAACGAGCACACAGTCCACCTGTTGGTGATTGCTGTGACCCATAGACATCCGCATCTATCCTCAATAAAGAATCAAAATGCAGATGCGTTGTCACCCGTGAGGACTATGAAATGCCTCGTTTCCAGTAAAAAATCATCTCCGGTTCTCTACAGTCACCATACGAAACACAACAGTGTTAAGCTGCTATTTTACACTGGTATTCTGTGAGAGCGTGGTCCTTCTCCAGTCGGGCCGACCCATTCGTGCTACAACTATACTATTAATATAGCTGTAGCATGGCTCTACCACGTAAAAAAATGCTGAATGTAATGAATAAGTAAAGGGACTTCATTCCAACCTTAACGCTGTCCATTACCATCTAGAGACGGCGAAGTCGGCCTTGCTCTTTTTAACCGAGACGCAGGTGTCCTCTCCGGCTGATACTTCATATCTCTCCTACCCGGGGTACAAATTTGAACACTCCTTTGTGCCCCGGGCTGGAGTTTGCGTATACGTCAGAGAGGACATCTGTTTTTGACGCCTCGGCAGTCTTGAAGGTACGGACCTGTCCATCCTATGGCTGCGCGTAGACAGCGACGACTATCCCCGCGTCTACCGGTGCTTCTGTAGGTCCCATAGCGGTAATGCTGACACAGATCGACTCATCGACCGCTTCCAAATGGCTGCAGACTCCGTGTTACACTCCGTATAACAGGTCCCATCCGTAGATATCGTGATACTCGGTGATTTTAACGCCCACCACGCTGAATGGCTAGGTTCTCGTTTAACCGATCATGCGGGTAGATCTGTCTATGACTTTGCCTTGGCATATGGTCTAACACAACTAATTATTTCGCCTACGCGGATCCCAGATGTGGAGGATCATGTACCTTCCCTGTTGGACCTTCTGGTCGTTCGATGCTCCTCTGGGCTCTTCGGACCATTGTCTGATCCGGAGTACGGTGCCACTCACGCTCCCATCGCAGTTGCGATCTGCAGCTTGCCGCCGTGTTTGGCGCTATAGGTCGGCCGATTGGGACGGGATGCGGTCATTTTTTGCATCCTACCCTTGGGGGCGGGTTTGCTTCACGCCGAAAGATCCCAGCGTTATTGCCGATTCTGTTGCTAATGTAGTACTTCAGGGTATGGAACTTTTTATTCCATCCTCTGAGGTGCCCATCGGTGGCAGATCCCAGCCATGGTTTGGGCGTTCCTGTAAAAGCAGGAGTGCCACCGGGCCTGGGCTGACGCATCAACGTCTCGAGATGTACACATCAGCGCTCATAAAAAGAAGTATAATTCCGCCTCCAGGTCCTTCAAAAGCGTCATTGCCAAGGCAAGGTCTGAGCACATCGGCAGAATTGGTCAGAAGCTAGTTCGCTTTCTTTCGGGAACCCGTGCATTCTTGTCTCTCGAAAACGCTGTCCAAGGGAACTTTTGTCAGCCTTCTCTTCCATATCTGCATAGAGAGAACGACTCATACCGCAAAGGGGAAAGCCGATCTCTTGAGCTTTCTTTGTGCGTCCAACTCGACTCTAGATGACGGGGGGAACACACCGCCGACCATCCCGCGGTGTGAGTGCTCCATGCCGGAAGTGCGGTTTACACAGCGCTCGGTTCGCAAAGCACTCTTATCCCTGGACGTCAGCAAGTCGAGTGGGCCTGATGGAGTCTCTCCCATTGTGCTGAAGACGTGTGATCCGGAGTTGGCATCGGTTTTAACGTGTCTTTTCCGGTACTCCTACTCCCAAGGCGTAGTCCCGAATTCATGGAAGACAGCTTTGGTCCACCCGATCCCTAAAAAAGGCGACCACTCAGACCTGTCCAACTACAGGCCTATCGCCATCACCTCCTGGTTCTCCAAAATAATGGAATCCATTATAAACTGCTAGCTCATAAGGTACCTTGAGGATCACCAGCTGATTAGTTACCGCCAGTACGGTTTTCGTCGGGGTTGATCAGCTGGTGATCTTCTGGTCTACCTGACTCATAGATGGGTGGAGGCAGCAAGGGGAAGGCATTGGCCGTTAGTTTGGACATAGCGAAGGCCTTCGATCGGGTCTGGCACAAAGCGCGTCTTTCGAAGCTTCCTTCCTATGGGCTTCCCGAGAAATTGTGCAAATGGATCACCAGTTTCCTTGCTGATTGGAGCATCAAGGTCGTAGTGGACGGTGCATGCTCAGATTTCAAGCCTTTCAACGCAGGTGCACCACAAGGCTGCGTGCTATCACCAACGCTGTTTCTCCTGCATATCAATGATATGTTGCAAACTGGTAACATTCATTGATATGCAGACGGCAGCACTGGTGATTTCTTACATACCGGCCGTACCAATATTTCTCGGGAAAAGTCGCCGAGTACCGGGACAAACTTGTGTCTGAAATCGAGTCTTTGCTGAACAAAGTCTCGGATTGGGGCGACTAAATCTAATCCAGTTCAATCCCCAGAAGACACAAGTTTGCGCGTTTACCGCTAAAAAGAACCCCTTTGTCGTATCTCCTCAGTTGTAAAGGCACTCCCCTTGCTGACTCAGCTAGCATCAGAATACTCGGCGTCGACATATGGAATAGTGTGCAGTTTCGTGGTCACTTGGAAGGGAAGGCCAAATTGGCCTCTAGAAAGCTTGGCGTGCTCAGCAGAGCGAGACAGTATTTCATGCCGGCACATCGGTCGCAACTTTACAAAGCGCAAATTCGGCCTCCCATGGAATAATGTTCTCATCTCTGGGACGGGGCACCCCAGTGCCAGCTCTTTCTACTTGACTGCATCCAGCGCAGTACGGTTCGAATCGTCGACGACCGAGTTCTTTCTGATCGGCTCGATACACTGGCACTGCGTAGGGATGTTGCATCCCTTTGCATTTTCATTTTCATATTTACCACGGGGAGTGCTCTGAGGAATTGTTTGGATTAATTCCAGCCGCCAAATTTCACGAACGCACATCGCGTCAAAATTCACGATATCATCCTCACCATCTGGATGCTCGGCGATCCACGACTGTACGTTTTACTAGGAGTTTCCTTCCTCGTACAACTTCTCTGTGGAATTGTTTACCACTGGTGATTTTTCCGGATCGATACGACTTACGGACCTTCAAGAAAAGAGCTTACACCTTTCTAAAAGGCCCGCAACGCATCTGTAATTCCCCTGGTGTTGCGGTTGTTCATGGGCGGCGGTAGTCACTTACCATCAGGTGAGCCGCATGCTCGTTTGCCCCCTCTTCTATAAAAAAAAATGCAGTTGGCTTAGAGCCATGTTTTGGGAAGCTCTATGTTCACTTGTGGACTGGCGAAGGGAAGGGAAGGGAATTATGATAATGATGACACATTAAACAAATGATCATATGAGCAGTGGTAGCTTACCGTTCGGCCTATAAATTAGTACATAGGGCACGAGCAAAACAAGTTAAAACCCCACCGGTACCTACGATGATTTGTTTATCTGAATTGTTAATTGCAATTTTACGTGTCAATTTACTACGTGGTCGGCAATGAAGGAAATCACTGTGAGGAGACCTGCATGTCTGAAAAATTATAAATATTCTAAATAGCAGGTGAAATTTGCCAAGTATAAGACGCGGCATCGCTCACTCTTACCTGCTCCCAGCTATAGCTATGATTCACCATCATAGGTTGCTGTCGCCCGGAGCCGCTAGTGCACAAAAACGCCGCTATTGACTTTTCACAAAAAATCATGAGATTGAATGATAGAAAGAAACCAGCAATGTCTTCCCAACGACAATTTTTTTACGTGGTAGAGCTATGCTGCGGCTATATTAATAGTATAGTTGTAGCACGAATGGGTCGGCTCGACCGGGAAAGGACCACGCTCTACAGAATACCAGCGTAAAATAGCAGCTTAATGCTGCTGTATTTCGTATGGTGAGTGTAGAGAACCGGAGACCCTTTTTACTGGAAAAGAGGCATTCTATCTTAGTCCTCATGGCTGACAATGCATCTGCATTTTAATTCGCAAACGAAGATAAATGCAGATGTCTATGGGCCACAGCAACCACTTACATCAGTTGGACTGTGTGCTCGTTTGTCACCCTACTTCCATAACAAAAAAATTACAAAAAATGCGGCGACAATGCGTGGCAACTATCCCAAATATAGATGCTTCATAACATATGAATGGATAGGGGAGGACTATTTTCAGCAGTGGAATTAATTTTTAATGGGCCGTAATTACGATGTGAATAAATATATGAACTGTTTATTTACCATGCAGTTGCTCTTTGTATAAAGCTCACTGTAAATGCACCTGTCCTTCAGCACTTTGTTGTCCAACGTTGACACGAAGCTGAGGTAACCGAAGTAATTGTAGCCAGGAGTCAGCGAGGTCGGCTCCATCAACTCTTCCCTAGGGTACTTTGTGAATATCTAATGGAAATAATTACGTATAAAATGTCACTTTGGCACTAAGTCGAGTTACCAGAGTAATTTTAAGAGAAATTAAACATAATATTTAAATTAGAGATAATCTCTCTTCCATTAAAATGCACGGTTCCATTAAAATGCATGATACAAACCTTCAAACAAAGTAGGCTACTGATACGTTGTTACCTTCAAGGATTACTGTCTCTCAGCCTTTAACTATACTGGCTCACTATCTTTCAGCCTGCAACACATCAGTACTATTTAGTGGCAGAAATAGTTGAGGGTCGTACCTACCAAGGCTCCAAGACAGATTCCAAGGCAGACAAGAAGTCTTACCACCTAGTATTCGTTATTAGAGTTGCGAAAGTTATTTTTTTATTTACCTTGCAACCGTCAAGGTGGGTTTTATTCGATAATTGCATTGCAATGAGTAATCTCCTTGTTCTCTGCAGTTGTGACGTCACAATGTTCGCCATTTGTATTCTGCAATAACATACGCCAACAATAATTCATCTGGTAACGTTTAGTGAGGGTGTAAGAATATTCACTACTTATTAACTTATTAACAGAATATATTATATGCGTAATAGTAAAGTGACATCGTAATGGTACAGTGACTCGTTTGGTCAGTGACCGGAACCGGAGACCCTTATTACTGGTAACGAGCGCTCCATCTTAGTACTCAAGGACGCCAACGCATCTGCATTTTAATTTTTATTTTATTTCAATTAATTTAAATAATTCTTTTGTAATTAAATAAGCTATGATTCAGAGGTGGTCCAATTTCTTAAAGATATAATTCGATTACATTTTACGACATCTTAATTGTTAGCCTGAAATTATAATATTACTTAGACCATTCAAAATGCTAAAATAATTAAACTTAATAATTATAAACTGATTTCTAAATAAAATAAAAATTATAATAATTTTGTTTTTTCTTTTTTAAGATTTAACGTAACTTTCGAAGCAACTTTCACTACCACCTAACCTTTCTTTGCTTTGGTTAAAGTACTTACTGATTGGGTCGCATAACGCAGCAAACTCCCCAGTGTGTCATCTCTTTCTTGAAGATATCCGCGCAGGGCAGCGTCACGGTCAACCAACGGCACGTTCGTATCAAGGTGCCACACGCTGGTACCAGTCTAAATAGAGCTTCCGTCAGCGTCAAATTATTAACGCTCAGCGCTCGGTCCAGGAGCGTCACCTGACTATCAGCTAGAGGCTTCCTACGAAGTACGAGGCTGAGTATTGACGGTAGCCTTCTTCTGATCTCCGCATCCGTAACTCTGAAATCGGGCAATTATTGTAGTAAGGGTTTTGTAAGAAGGCCTGTTATAGTGCCTGTGGTCAGTGGTCAGCCTTATTTACTCGCATTTTCAAAAACTGCAATAAAGGTGTATCATCTATACTAATATAATAAAGCGGAAGAGTTTTTGTTTTTTTGTTTGTTTAAACGCGCTAATCTCTGGAACTACCAGTCCGATTTGAAAAATTCTTTTTGTATACTATAGCCAGATTCATGTGAAATAGTATAGGCTATCTAGCATTAAGCTATATTACTCAGCTAGCCTTAAATATGGATATTTGTTAAGCAAGTCAGAAGAAAAAGCACTCCCGAAATTATTTATCCGCGTACGCTGGTGTTATCGTTAGGGATACGTAAATACAATGTTCTAGAAAAATATAGACCTTTACTCCGTCTAAAAAAAGTCCGCGATACCATACGTCTATTTCTTATACATAAGCCATAATTTGGTATTTTTGACAAAAAAATATTGAAAATTTAAAAGTGATTTATGAGCGTTATTATTAGGCATGGCCTATTTATCCTTACGAACGAAAGTTACTTCATTATCAAGACAATTTTATGAAGATAAACTTTGTTCTTTATACCATATTATTTGGACGCATAGTTTAAGAGATAATGTAAAATTAAAATAATTCAATACTTGGCTGGGCGCGCGAACGACGCTTAAACCCTAGCCGTTATAAAATGCTTGAACTAGGTCATGCCGCGCACCTCGGACACGTGATGACGCGGGTGAAAGCGCGGGGCACAGCTAGTTATTTATATATTTAAATTAAAGTTTAAAATTTGACTAATCTTTGAAAAATAACCCCTTTATATTATATTCAATTGCTTATACGTGTCTCAAAGGGTTTTAATCGGAGTGACATATCTTTGTAAATAAACGCAATCTAGAACAGCCTTGCCTATACCAAATGTTAAGACTACTTTCTGCCTAGGATTCCGTTTGAGTCCTAGGTATGTACGACCCTCCTGTCTATTTCTGCCACCAATAGCAGTGTGTGCACTGCTCCTTTCCGGCCTGAAGGGAGAGAACCAGTATAATTACATATTGAAGCGTTCCATCTTAACCTTCAGAGTTGACAACGCATATTATGTATGTAGCCCATCGATCACTTATAAAAAACTAGATACACAATCAGTGACAAAAATGTCCTCACCGAATGAGCGCCCACTCGAACATTTCGGTGCGCTTTTAATTTGTACGTATCTTTGTGAATACAACTTTAGGCAATGCATTTAAGGTTGAATTTAAGAGAACTTTTGCATGGGATTGCGTATCTATTTTTTAATAGTGATCGATGATGTAGCCTGATTAATTTGAAGTTGGTTGCGGTTGTACATGGACTGTAATAGCCACATACCACCAAATAGACTGTAAGTTCGTTTGTCGCTTCAATTTTATTAAAAACTAACTGTCCCTCGCGACTTCGCACGCGTGAAATTTACTACGATTTCATGGGTTTTAATTCTTTTTTTGCGCGAACCCTAATTCTTTTTCTAAAATAAAACTATACTAAGTTACTCCTTATAATATCAGCTATCTGCCAATGAAAGTTCCGTCAAAATCGGCCCAACCGTTTCGGAGATAAGCCGGAACAAACAGACTGACAGACAAAAATTTAAAAAATTGTATTTTTGTTATTAGTACGCTGTTACTTTGACATTACAAACAAACACCTCAATTTTATTGATTTGTATAGATATAGATGTATAGATACTTCAAATTACCTCTTGCTGCATCATGGGTGGTAGGTACAATTCTCAGACAGAGAGGACATTACTGTATAGAACGAACAAGCTTTACCGCAGTCTTGGCCGGTTAACCTGCTTGGTGGATTATCGCCAAGCGTGTCAATTAGTATGGTAAGTACTCACCTATGAGACAATCTATGTTTGAAGCCTATGTACAGCAGTAGTCCACTGCTTAACTTTGAGAAGCTATAGGATAGGGTGACAAACGAGTACACAGTCCACCTGATGGTAAGTGGTTGCTGTGACCCATAGACATGATGCGTTGTCACCCGTGAAGACTAAGATGGAATGCCTCTTTTTCCGTAAAACACTCCAGTGCGAGCGTGGTCCTTCCCCGGTCGAGCCGACCCATTCGTGCTACAACTATACTACCAATATAGCTGCAGCATGGCTCTACCACGTATTACCCTATCCTATCCCTACTTCCTATTAATAACTTTTTCATTTAATTTCGCCCCTTGAAATCCCTAAATGAAGGTTATTGTAATAAAGGATGGTGGCGGAATGCCACGTATCCAAGGCATATTTGTCATAGTTGCCACGCTTGACGAGCGGGTTGGCAACCGCAGTTTTTTTATTGTACTATTGCTGTTATCAGGAAGAAGCTGCTGCCCATCTCCTGCCTGTTTCCCACTGTCGCCTCTTACGACACACACGGAAGGATAGTGGTATTGGATATTCTTAACCGCCACTACACGGCTCGGTGTATAGAATAAATAAATAAATAAAATTTATTATAGGTCCAGACGTACAAATTCTGCTCGAATAACTGCGCAATGCTGCCAGCTGAAGGGCATGCGGCTATAATAGACAGATCCAGCAGTTGTTGGTCTGTGCGCAGTTCCTGCAGCGTTATGAGTGCCGGCACCGCGGCGAAGCGCTGCCACAGCACCGCGCACAGCACGCCCGCGCAACACGCGCTCGCGCAGCAGCACACCATCCAGCACACTCTGCCGATTGATTTTAAATAAATATAAGTTAATAAATTATCGTGTAAATTTTCGTACCGTGCTGAAACCGCAGCACCCGTAGCACAACACATCCGTATCTTTAGTGGCTTGGTCGTTGCTACAGACACATCTAACGATGCGATGACCGCTGGGCAGCCGTTTTTGGTCCTATTTTAAAGGATTATATAACATTTTCTGGGTGGTCTAGACCCCTTAAACTTTCCTTTGGGCATGTCCCCTTGCTCGCATTTGCCCCCCGAGGCATATTTGTTGTTGGACGTACCTACTCTGTTTTTTCTAAATCTTTTCCCGCTTTTTGAGGTAACGTTTTAAGTACGTTCAATGATACCTTCACACTGTACTACAAGAGGACCTTAAATGCTAATTTACAATGAGCTGTGCAGTAAAAGAAAACTAATAAACCAGCATGAATGAGAAATACAAATATTTCGAGGATACATGAAGTCAACCAACGCACGACGGGGAAACGCGGCGAACCCCTCTGGTGCAAGTAAGGTACCTTCTTAAAAATGTGAGGTAGCCTGTACCCAGCCCTGTATAAGCGGATAAGGCTAGTTCCTTTTTAGGGTTTCTTACCCAAAGGGTAATCAACGGGACCCTATTACTAAGCCTCCGCTGTCCGTCCGTCCGTCTGTCTGTCAGCGAGCTGCATCTCATGATCCGTAACAGGTAGAAAGTTGAAATTTTTACAGAATGTGTATTTATGTTGTCAGTATAACAACTAATAAAACTAAAATAAATTAAAAATTAAAGGGGGCTCCCCTACTAGAAACGTGTATTACGATGGTACGGAACCTTTGGATGCGCGAATCCGACTCGCACTTGGCCGGTTATTTATTTACAAAGCAGAGCAGAGAGAAGAGTCTAACTCCTTTATCTGATTTGATGGTAGATCACCTTCTTACTTATGGGGAAAAAGCCATATATCCTCACCTATCTATAAAGAAATCGGAACACAAGTATTTAAACCCATGTAAGGTTGTTGTCCTGTAGAATTGCCGAATAGTGTCAGTGAATACTGAACACTTCACCATAGTCACTTGACAAAAAACCGCCTTTTTTAAATCAGGAGAAATAAATGTTAATAATATGAATAGTCGAAGCAATAAAAAATATTAATACTGCAAGCACAGTTTGAACAAAAGCTAATTGAACTGTTTGAAAGCTGAAAACTGAGTTGGCAATGTTTGATTACTATCAGTTTAATAACGATCAAGTGGCCTATTAACGTTAGTTGTATGTCTGTCTGCCATGTGAGGTGTAATTAGCGCTTTGGCGTTTCATAAATGACCTCTGGCAGCAAAATTGATAATTTTGTACTAATGATCTTTTCATATTTCAAACTAAGTACATAAGATTCATTTATTTATGTACCTATAACGCATACGTAGTGTTTTTTTACTTTGTTTTTTTTTATAGAATAAGAGTGACAAACGAGCACACAGTCCCCCTGACGGGAAGTGGTTGCTGTGGTCCATAGACATCTACATCCATCCTCGATTACGAATCAAAATGCATATGCATTGTCACCCGTGAGGACTAAGATGGAATGCCTCGTTTCCAGTAAAAAGGGTCTCCGGTTCTCTACACTCACCATACTCACCATACGAAACACAGCAGCGTTATGCTGCTATTTTACGCTGATATTGTGAGAGCGTAGTCCTTCCACGGTCGAGCCGACCCATTCGTTCTACAACTATACTACTAATATAGCTGCAGCATGGATCTTCCACGCAATATATAATATTTAATTGACATTTACTGTTTTCTACATTGCTTTAGTTTTTATACATTAAAATTTAAATCAAAAGAAGTCCGGACTGAATTTTTATTTTCAGCTTGATGCTCGGTTTGATTTCGGAAGAGTATGAGCAAACCTGAAACAAAATTAATAAATACATTTTTTTTTTCAATGTTTAAAATACATATTTATGTACTAAAATGCCCCATAATACGATTGTTCCCAACTTGTTCAACGGTCAACCAGATAACGCTAGCTCATCACATAGCATCATAAGCTATGCTTCCTGGTCTAAGGTCAAGGTCAACCCCACTCCATAACTTCTTTAATACATTATACACATGCATCCTGCGATAACTACAATTATTCGTAGGCGTGGTCACCTTTTTTTTGGGAAAGGCCAAGGGGGCATATATCCTAAACACGTTTTTTTATAGCAGTGTCATAAACATAGAAGTGTGATTCTTCTTATTCTTAGTAACTGGCTTTACGGCTCTGGGATCTAGCCCTTCTGAGCCTACTACAATATATTATAATAATTATCCTTCATAGTATACTGCTTCACAATATGTTGATGCGTCACATTGTGCAGCCCTTGGGAGATTTTGACGGCAACTTGAGCCAGCAGACAGCTGACGGTTGGTGATGGTATCTCAAGGCGCCTAAGCAGACAGACACCTTATTTTGAGATTCACATCACCATCAGAGCACTTGTTTCACAGTTTCCACTAATAATTCACATGCGTAGACACTTAATACACAAAATCGCACCACTTTTACATATCAAAGTCTACTTCAAACCATTATTTAAACAATAATACAGGAGTAGCAAACCGCCGCCGGTCAAGTTCCCGCCAAAACCCCCCATAGAAGTGTGATAAACGAGCACACAGTCTATCTGTCGGTAAGTGGATGATGACGCCAATAGACATCTAAAATTAACCGTGATTAAAAATAAAAATTAGTGTCCGACCGAAACAGGATTTTCAACCGAAAACGAACCTTCGGTCTGGGTGCTAGTTTCGGCCGAAACCGAAACCGAAACTTATTTAGACATGTTAATTATTTTTTATTGTATACTGAAATCTGGTAAGTATATTTTGTATACATATACAGATAGGTAATGCATGTTAATTTTTCATTACAGCCCTTCACAAGTCCACTGCTGAACATAGGCCTCCCCCAAAGAATGCCACAAAGCACGGTCCTGAGCCACCTGCATCCATCGACTTCCTGCATATCTTACCAGGTCGTCACTCCATCTAGTGGGGGGACGCCCTACACTTCGCCTGCCGGTACGAGGCTGCCACTCGAGAACCTTTCTTCCCCATCGGTTGTCGGTTCTTCGAGCTATATGGCCGGCCCATTGCCACTTCAGCTTACTAATCCGTTGGGCTATGTCAGTCACTCTGGTTCTACTGCGGATATCCTCTTTCTGAGTTTATCACGCAGAGAAACTCCGAGCATAGCCCTCTCCATAGCTCGCTGAGCGACCTTGAGCTTCCTCATCCGGCCAGCAGTGAAGGACCACGTCTCAGTTCCGTATGTCATCACTGGCAACACGCACTGGGTGTACAGTCTCGTTTTCAAGTTTTGAGGTATACCTGACGAGAAGATGTGCCGTAATTTCCCGAACGCTGCCCAACCGAGTTGAATCCGTCGATTGACCTCTCGGTCGAAGTTGGACTTACCTAGTCGGACTATTTGTCCCAGGTAAACATACTCGTCAACAACTTCGAGCTTAGTGTTCCCAACAACTACCGGCATATGAGTGACATGGACATTAAACATGATCTTTGTTTTGTCCATGTTCATCTTAAGACCTATCCGTTGGGAAACACTATTGAGGTCGTTGAGCATAGTGCTTAGGTCCTCCAGCGATTCTGCCATAAGGACTATATCGTCGGCAAATCGAAGGTGAGTGATGTACTCGCCATTGATGTTGATACCGTATCCTTTCCAGTCCAGAAGCTTGAAAACGTCTTCCAATGCAGCGGTGAAGAATTTCGGGGATATGACGTCACCCTGTCTTACACCTCTCTGCAATTGGATAGGTTTCGTACTCTGGTTCTGTACTCGGATAGCCATCGTAGCCCTACTGTACAAGCACTTCAACACTTCGATATACCGACAGTCAACTTGGCATCGCTGAAGGGACTGCAGCACCGTCCAAATTTCGACGGAATCAAAGGCTTTCTCATAGTCCACATACGCCAGACATAGTGGCAAATTGTACTCCTCGGACTTCTGTACAATTTGCCGAAGGGTATGTATGTGGTCTATGGTGCTAAAGCCTTTTCGGAAACCGGCTTGTTCGGGAGGCTGGAAGTCGTCAAGTCTGCGCGCGAGACGATTCGTAATGACTCTCGAAAACAGCACGTAGACGCGGCTCAGAAGGGAAATCGGTCTGTAGTTCTTCAAGAGAGCGTTGTCGCCTTTCTTGAAGAACAAGACCACCGCACTTCTGCTCCACGCCTCCGGTGTAACGCCACCATGGAGGACGGAATTAAAGAGCTTCTGAAGGACTTCAAGTACCGGTTTTCCACCCGCTTTCAGAAGCTCCGCTGTAATTCCATCCTCGCCTGGGGACTTGCCGTTTTTAAGGTGCTGGAGAGCCATTCTAATCTCGCTCAGACTGACGTCCGGGAAATCATCGGAATAATGTCGGATAAGACTCGCTCTTGGATCGTTACTCACACTTGAGTGCGGCTCCAACGATGACGTGTACAGCTGCCCATAGAACCTCTCAATCTCACTCAAAATCTCAGGTGCCCCGGAAACGATGCTGCCACATTCGGTTTTCAGCTTTGACAGTTGGCTCTTTCTGGCAGACAGATCTCTGGCAAAGACTTTGGAGCCTTGGTTCCGCTCGATCGCTTCTTCAATACGAGCTGTATTGAAGTTGCGTAAGTCCCACCGCATGCATTTGGAGATCTGTCTGTTCAGTTGCCTGTATGCTGTCAAATCTGTTGAAGAATGTAGCTTCATCTCCCGTCTAACAGCCATGAGATTAAGAGTGTGATCGGAGAGTTTTTGTGTTCTTCTGCGGCGGGTCTTGCAGAACTTAGCTCCGACCGCATGGACAGTTTCCACGAGCTTGTCATCATATTTATTTATTTATTTATTTTAAAGTAAAAATCAACAATTTAACATTAAGAATTACCATTTTAAGTCAATTTTGTAAAAAAAAATCAACACTTACACCCATAAAAAGTTACTCGCTAATTGAGAATATTTTGTGTTCACAATATTGTTAATATTATTCAGTAAGAGCATTAACTTAATATATTACATTTACAAATTTACACATAATATAATATACACACAGCTTAACAAAATTCCAGAAAATATACAAAACCTGATTAAAGTTCAAACATTTTAATAATCGAAGTTTGTATAAAGGGTTATTATAATATTAAGGAATTTATGGATGATAGTAACCCCTGGGAATAAGGTGATCACTACCAAGCTATTTCTAATCTGTTTTGTGTTACAGTGTAACATTCATGATTGTAAGCAGTGTCGTAGCTAGGCATGGGCGAAGTGGGCCCTCGCCCATGGCCTCGCACTTAAAGGGGCCTCGCGAGGCCCCCAAAAATGCGATGCCCTTTACCACAGATGACTAATTAATTTCATCACTTTTACGCTCGAAAAAGAAAGCCACAAATTTAAGTGTGTTTGTTTGGGGCCTCGTAAGAAGCCCCTCTTAAGTGCGACTGCCAGGCCGTTGTAACTACCTTCAAAGACCGCGACTGTTACATTGACGGAATACGAGACTTGTCAGAAATTAATAGATATGAGTAGGTATGTTGTATCAAGTCATGTTTGGTAGGATAGATCTATTGGGTTGATCCTTGGAACGAAGAAAAGGGGCCTCCCTGATGCAACTTCGCCCACGTTTATATTAGTCCATGCTACGCTTCTGAGTGTAAGCTGTTATTTAGAAAAAAAATCCCGCTGGGTTTCTTGCTGGTTCTTCCTAAGACAGAGTTTTTTTTTCGAACCAGTGGTAATTAAACGAAAGAGTGACTTTATAAGTATTATTTATAATCTACATTGAATAAAAAAGTTTCTGTTTTTGTTTCTGTATAATTAATTATGAATAATACACGACTCACGAACTCATCCGAACGACGCACGATAATCCACGCACACTGAGTTTCGGTGCCGCCAAAGGTTCGGCAGATTTTTTGCCGAAACCGAAACTAGATTTTTTTACCGAAATTTGCTGAAACCGAAACCGAATCTTCGGTCGGTCACTAATAAAAATGCAGATGCGCTGCCACCTCTTAA